TATAATAAAAAATAAATATATATAATAAAAAATAAATTAAAATGAGTGCAAAGAAATTAATTTGCAGTTAAGTTGCGTACAGTACAGTATGTGTGTACTATGCTGCTGCTGATATTTATATTATGCACGCTGTACAAATACACAACAAAAATGACAGCAGAAAAGAGCAGCTGTGTCATTCAGTGTTAACTCAACCAGAGGTCTCTGGTGGAATTGATTTTTTTATGCCAAAGTATGGCAAAAATATGAAATGCCACCGATTAATATTTACGGAGCAGTAGCTACACTATTTTGTAGAGGGGAGTCAAAATGAGATGTTGACCTTTCACCTGGGATTTGGAGGCAAATTGCAGGAGAGGAAAATTATTTTAGAAAGATGGACTTTCTAAAAGATTGACTTTAGCCATTTTTGTTGCATTATATGCCAATTGTGGGGTGGGGTGGGGTGGGGGGAACGGGAAAAGCACTTTTCACATTTCTTCCCCAAAGTTTGCCTGTGACTCAAGGCAATTGAATTTTAAATACTGGTTCTTAACTTTTGGTATCTTCATTTTAAGGACCTATATGGTTTATTTCCAAATATATGGAGGTCGCAGTCTGGCTCCATTGTTGACTAAATGAACCTGAAAAGATTTCCAACACCCACTTGTTTTGTAATCATTGTGTGCCAATGGCAATTTGAAAGTGTTTTCCAGAAGGTGCAATGTTTTCCAGAGAGTTAGCTTTGGCAAGATTCAAACCACCACTCCAAACAAACACCATTTTGGCCACATTTTTTTCGAAATTACATCACACCCATTTGCTCTTGGATTTCACTTGAAGTATATTGGGGCCTTAAATGAGGCGTGTATAGATTAAGTGAGCTTCCACAGTTGCAGTAAAGTTTTAGCGTCTCTGTTTGAGTGAAGCCTGATGTCCTTTTGTGACCGTTCGAGTTTTCTCTGGATGCTGCAAACACAGGAGCGTGTAGGGTGGAATTGACGAGGGACTTTATGAAACCCCCTCTGATCTCCAGATTAGGAATTCAAACTGTACCATGTGACTGGGTCATTCCTGTGAGCTGGTTCTGCTCTTTCTATATGCTGTTTCTTATATTTTCCCAAATGTTGATCTGCTGTTTTTCTGTAAACATCATTTCTTTCTCCCTCAGGGCTCAAGGGACACGCCGGAGGTGGCTGCAATGGCCCTAGCTATACTTTTCATGGCGATCCTCACGCCATGTTTGCAGAGTTCTTTGGTGGCCGTAGCCCGTTCGATCAGTTTTTTGCGTCTGCTGGGGGCGCAGATGATGACATGGACATTGATGACCCCTTTGCAGCCTTCGGAATGGGAGGAATGGGCGGATTTCCCAGATCTTTCAAGTCTCGGGTAGGCGGTGTGCACGGGGGCCGAGTAAAGAAGAAAGATCCGCCAGTAGTGCACGAGCTCAAGGTGAGTCTGGAAGAAGTGTTCTCTGGTTGCACAAAAAAGATGAAGATCTCTCGCAAGAGGCTGAACCCGGACGGCTGCACCGTGCGCACCGAAGACAAGATCCTCACCGTGGACATCAAGCGTGGCTGGAAGGAGGGAACCAAGATTACCTTTCCCAAAGAGGGAGACGAGACGCCAACCAACATCCCTGCCGACATAGTGTTTGTGGTTAAGGACAAGGTTCACCTGGTTTTTAGGAGAGACGGCTCTGACATCATCTACCCTGCAAGGATATCCCTCAGAGAGGTGAGTGTCTAGTGTCTGCTGCTGAGATAAAGTTACTTAACATCCAGTAATATATACCAGTGAACTTTTGTTAAGCTATTGAAAAGTGTTCAATGCAGGGTGTCCGCGGGTCCTTAAAAAGTCTTAAATTCGGATTCGATGGGTCTTCAATATTTTTAGTCACTTTACCGCTAAAATATCTTCAGTCTGACGGACCTAATGACTTTACAATCATTGGACAGACCAAAGATTTTTTCTTCCAAAGTTACTGTGTCATCAGAGAGAATCGCAGTAGCAGAATACAGGTCGAGCTCATAGACTGTATAGGTCGAACTACCTTTTTAATGTTCTCAATAAAAATAATAATAATTTATTAAAATACAATTTTGTGATTAAAACATAAGTGACAAAAAATAACCAGCGAAGCATCGAAACGCGAGAATGATTCTTCTAATTTTATTAGCCTACATTCAATGTAAACAGCAATTGATAATGGATAGTGTATTTCTGGTATCAAGGTCGCCGCGCTGTTGAGGTTCACTCTGTTTGTCTCTTTTGTGAGAAACTTCAGAACAAATGAGCGTGACAGCACACATAAACTCAGAAGAAACACACTGAGGTAAAAATTCAAAATGTTTAGTTTATTTATAGCATGATATAGTCAAGTAACATACCATGACA